CCGAATGATGCCCCATTCAGCTCATTACATCTTCCATTCTTACGTGCTTTTGCATATTTATGCAAATGCAAAAACACATACTGGCAAGGAGTTATGTATGTGTACTCGCATCTTTTTACCCACTTTCAACTGAGCAGCCAGAGAAGCCAGGAAGCTGAAAACGACCCTACTTTTTAAAATCGACGTTCAAGTATGTCTAAGTCTCACGCATAGACACTTGAAAAAACTTGGAAAGTTTTGCAGAGAAAACGATTTCGAGAACCAGAAAAGAAAGGAAATTGAAATTTCACAAGGATGCTTTACGTCTTTAAACGCGAGCTGAAGACCTCAAATGCAACTATCACGCACATCTACGTCACACATACTAATACATCAAAGTCGAAATCGGAACCGATGACAGAATGTCAACTCGGAGGAAAAAATGATTAAAGCGCCCCAGTTTTACAAGAAGGATATTTGTCTTCCATAGCCAGAAGTGCGTTCGGACATCCCAAAGATATTCGTAACGAAAAGTGGCTTCGCCAGTCGACTAAGCTGGCAGGCAGAAATTTTGCGAGGATTTCTGTGTCTACGTACGCCCTAATATTTAAAATTCTGTTTTTTAGCACGCCTAGATCTCGCTCGCACGCGTCCATGTGGATGTTTAGCTTGCGATTCTGTTGACGTCTGATTAACTGTATGAGCAGACTTAATAAAAAGCAGTATTTTTCTGCGGGTGCTTGCTGTTCATTTGGGGAGGGGACAGCAAGCATAAAATGAACTTATTTTGTCGATGTATTAAATGTCAAATTGTAGCGCTGCTGCTGTTCCACTGTTTTGGCGAGAATGCAGACAAAAAAGCTAAAATTTTATTGAGAATAATACTGGCTTATTCTGTGGGCTACGAGGAACATAACAGCAGCTCTTACGTACACTTCAGTCTTGTATAGGGACGCGATAAATTTCAGGATGCACTGTAGACCGCGGTGCGCGCTGCTAGCTGGATCACACACAGCCTCGGTTTTTTATTGTCACACCGCGTGTGCCTGATCATTTATTCCCCTCCGCTTCATATTTTCCCGAAATGCCAATTTTACCAAACGGAGTGTGG